ATTAAGTCCTAAACCTTTTAAATTGGTGCCAATTCAGTCCTAAACCTTTTGTTTTTGTGCCAATTTAGTCCTTCCGGCCAATTTTGACCGGAATTTGCCTACGTGGACGCCTGCCGGCCGGCGGCCGGTCACCGGCGCCGACGTGGACAACTTTAATATTTTTTTGAATTTTTATTTTTTTCCTTTTTTTTTCTTTTTTTTTCCACTTTTTTTTTGGTTGTCTTCCTCCTTACTCGCGGCCGGTCGCCGGTTCGGCGACGGCCGTCAGGCCGAGGCCGGCGAGGGCGAGCCTCGCCTTGGTCGGGCGAGGCTCGAGCCCTCGCCGGAGGCCGCGGCGAGGGCGAGCCTCGCCATGGTCGGGCGAGGCCCGACCTCGCCGGATCCGCGAAGCTCGACCTCGCCGGATCCGGCGAGGTCGGGCCTCGCCGCACCATGGCGAGGCTCGCCCTCGCCGCGGCCTCCCGTGAGGGCTCGAGCCTTGCCTTGGTCGGGCGAGGCTCGCCCTCGCCGCGGCCTCCGGCGAGGTCGGGCCTCGCCATGGTCGGGCGAGGCTCGCCCTCGCCGCGGCCTCCCGGCGAGGGCTCGAGCCTCGCCATGGTCGGGCGAGGCCCGACCTCGCCGGATCCGGGCGAGGTCGGGCCTCGCCGGCGCCGGGCGAGGCTCGACCTTGCCGGATCCGGCGAGGTCGAGCCTCGCCCGACCATGGCGAGGCTCGGCCTCGCCGGACGAGGCCGCCCTCCCCAGTGGCCGGTCGCCGGACCGGCGACCGGCCCGATGAAGAAGAAACCAAAAAAAAAAAGTGGAAAAAAAAGAAAAAAAAAAAAAAAAAAATTCAAAAAATATTAAAATATTATTTAATTTGTCCACGTCGGCGCCACGTCGGCGCGGTGACCGGCCGCCGCCGGCAAAGCGTCCACGTCAGCAAATTCCGGTCAAAATTGACCTAAGGACTAAATTGACACAAAAATAAAAGGTTTAGAACTGAATTGGCACCAATTTAAAAGGTTTAGGACTTAATTGGCACCAAAAAAAGGTTTAGGACTAAATTGGCACCAATGCAAAAGGTTTAGGACTGAATTGGCACCAAAAAAAGGTTTAGGACTAAATTGGCACTAATGCAAAAGGTTTAGGACTTTTTTGACACTTTTCCCTAATAATCTTATCTACCGAATCACTGCACGTTTCTATTGAAATATGGTGTTTATCAATGGTGATATTAATCCAAGACGTACATTCATAATTGATAATGAAAGATCGTTTTTTTAGCGTCTTTGAATATGATTTATCGGCTTATCTATGCACATGTAGTTTGTCAGCACCAGATGACAAAATCTTGATAGTAACATCCTCTTATATTTATTAAGGCAAAACTTTAATTTATCTGCTTTTTAGTTTTTAAAGCAAATGCCCACTTTCTTCTCGTACATTGTCTCCCTGAGGGATAACGATACAAATAATCTCTGAACTTTGACTCGATGTATAATGTGGTCGCTGAATTTTTAATTTATTAATATGGTCCCTGAACTTTTAGTTTTTTCAGTTTGGTCTCTAGACTTTTGATATATGTTCGAGTTAGTCCCCGGATTATATGAAAATATTCAATTTTATCCAAGAACTAGATTTTCATATAGTCCATGGCAACATTGACCATTTTCATATGGTTCGGGGACTAGATTGAACATGCATCGAAAGTTCAGAAATCACATTGAACAAATTGAAAGTTGAGGGACGACATACATATTGAGCTAAAGTTCAGGGATTATATTGAATAAATTGAAAGTTCAGGTACTATATTTCACATTGGGCCAAAGTTCAAGGGTCATTTGCATCATTTTCCCATTCCCTAATTAAGTAATCTCTTTCCATGCATAACTAGCCCAGTGTCTACAAATCCACGCATGCAATAGAAGAAATAAAGACAGAAAAGACCAAGAAAACACAGAAGAGCCTCAAGCCCAGATTCGCTGACAGGATGGACGGAGAAGGAAAGACATTCGGAACTCCTAGGGCCGTAATGTATCGATCACGCTGCGTAATCTTGGACTATTGGGCTCACGGGTTGTAATGCACCGAATCGTGGGCTTAGCGAACTTGCGAATCGAGACTCATCATCCGTGCCCACTTATTTCTTTACCCCTCTACTGAACCCGACGTGCGTCTCGTTCATTCTTCGGGGCAAAATTTCCGAAAAAACAAACCACCAGTCTGGTGCAACAAAGTTGAAAGTCCTCCTTTGAATTCATCTAGTCACGTTTATATTCTAATCGAGAAATAATCCGACCAAATATGAGTTTTTTAAACAAATCCATACTCCCAAATTGATCGGGATTGAATATAACTTAGTCATCATCGTACGATTGACTCGTTACATCACATCAATATGTAATTGGCAATTGATTCACGAAGCCATTTCTCGGACTAAAGCTGGTTTTAGTACAGCATTGTCGAGGGACTTTGAATTCAACCCATGAAAGCCTGTCGACAAAAGTAAATGTGTTTGGTGAAGCAATTTGAAAGCTTATTTGGCAAAAATTCAATGCATTCACAAAGGCGTTTCTCTCAAGGCAAGGGGCAGAGCTGCGCTGGCATCGTAGTATTTTCGGGATGCTGAAGGTGAGAGCTGATGAGTTTTCTTATTTCAATCTTGCCCTCACTATTATTTTCGTATTCCTTTTTTACCCCCGAATGTTGGTACTGTCCATGGTCTCTCTCCCTCGGTCGCCAAAGCTAATCTCATCACTCCGCGAAGAGTCTCCAGCTGGTCGACGCTCACTGAGAGTTGAGGGACGTCGAGAATTGAGGTGTCGACGATCGACAGTCGCGAACCTATCTCGAGCGAGATTTGGAGGGCCGTGGATCTGTTTGTGGCAAGATCTAGAGGGTCCCAAATGGTCGCACGAGACTCACCGAGGTCGCATGACCTCGGCGTGGACTTGACTAGAGGGTCGGGCGACCTCGGCGGCAATCACGTGGGGTGGGGTCAAGCCACCTCAGCGGCCTCTGCGCCAAGTCACGCCGACGCTCGAAGGGCCAGATCCGACTCGCCTACGGTCACGCGACCTTTGCATCACCTCACCTGAGGTCGCACAACCTTAGTAATTAGCCGTCAATTGAGCTTTCGATTTTGTTTTCCTAAAGTCCTTTACAAGTGTCGTGCTATCAGTGTTGACCATTTCGTGAAAGCTCTCTGGTCAAAAATCCTTTGCATTTACCTACGAGTTTTTTCTAAATGCTCTCCGAAATGCACCCGAAAACTTTGGGTTGGGCATCGAATTAGATCGACTGGCGTTTTCGCCGTTGGTGTCAAAGCAGACATGTGATCGAGTAATGGCAGGAGAACGACGAATCCATCTCCTCCAAAGCGAGAGCCAAAACTGCAAGAGGTGTCGGCAGATCTATTTATTGGCATTTCTAGGTATCATATTAATTGTGGGATTTTATGGATCCATCCCCATTAACACCTAGCAGCCTTAACTAGCTAGGTAGGTGAGGTGCAAAGGTTACAGTATTGGCCCCAAAACAATAATGAGGGTCCTTTTCTTTTCCTCTTCTCAAGGCATCCATCCCCACTAGTTCTGGTATTGATTTTACAGGTGATAATAAAAAAAAGTGATTTGTTTATGATTAATCAAAAGTAAAATAATACCTTTTCCCTTTTCGTCTAAATTTAAAATAGAGCATATTTGAATATACTTATAACCATTTAGGCAGGGTGTATCAAATGACCTTTTACTTTTTTTGTATTTTGCCTTTTACTCGAGCTAAATCTTGCGACATCTGAACTTTATTTCTTTATTACCCCCATATTATCTGAAATTTTTATAATATACAAGTTTTGATGCGTGAAATCGTAGTAAGATTATGTACCGATAACAAAGCCATCCAATGGGGCAACTTATGGAAAGTCAATAAGCATGCCAATATCCGAAAAGGTATCTTATCATCAAATATAGTACTAAATATGGGACCAAAACACCACGTTTGGATTTTGGTTACGTTTGTTTTGCAGAAAATAAATGATTCGAAAAATATTTTCCTAAAAATGGTATCTTATATCGCTTCTAAAAACGAGTGAACAAATTCGTTTTTCATCGCCCACGAAAAATTTTTAGATATAAATTATTGTCGATAATAAAAAAAATTCATCGATTAATTACTTCGAGCAATACAAACCGTCATTGTTAGAGAATATTTTCTAAATCATTCATATTTAGGGTCCGTTTGTTTGAAGGAAAAATGTTTACCCCATATCGTTATCCGACTTTTCAATATTTGGATGACTAAAAACTAATTGATTTGCGGAAAATGATGACTGATGAATGAAAGTCGATGACAATGTTTGGATGTAAATGGTTGCAAAAAACGAAAATATTTTTCATTAACTAATTATCATAAACTATACAAACAATTATTTTTAAGAAAAAAAAAATTTAAAAATCATAATTTTCCATGAAACATGCGGCAACTTCAATATCGCTATATTTCTTTTTCCGGCTGGCCGCGCCACTTTGTTTTGAGGTTCACATGAATTGTCGAGCGCAGCAGATTTCGCCAAACCCATTCAAGTTTTTTTTGTTTTTTTTGGGTCGAATAACCCATTCAAGTTTGAACCGGTCTCTTTTGATAGGCAAGATATTTTCAAACGGACAATAAAAAGGGGAGATATTCATCGACCAACAATTTGTCGCGCAAATTTCAATCCAAACCTCCAATCAGAGGCGATCCTTAATAGTGTCACTGACGCTGAATTTTGGTATATCCGCCAAACATCTTTTTTCCTCCCACTCCTTCCTCGTCGTTTCCGAAAGACCCAAAAAAAAACAGAAGGAGAGGAGAAACTACCCCCCCCGTTCCCACTTTCGCCTATGTTTCCTAGCTGCTAGCTACATATATCATTTCCCTTTACAAATAAAAAAATCCAAGACTAAAAAGAAAAGTCAATTTATACAAAATCAGCGTCCGCCGTCCCACGAACCCCCGCTCCGATCCCCCGGCCCCGCCTATAGCGCCGGCATGGTCTCCCCGCGCCGCCACAAGAAGTCCGACAGATCGGACGGGCCGTAGCCCGCGTCGGAGAAGTCGAACAGCCCGTCGAACGCCACGTACCCGCCCTCCTCGTCCCCGCCGCCGTACGCATCCCCGGCCCCGTACTGGAACGGGTCGTCGTAGCAGCAGCCCGGGAACCCGCCCTCCAGCTCCCAGAGCTCGCCGATCCCGGACTCCTCCGACGCGACCCGGACCAGGTCGGCCTCGCGCCGCGCCGCCTCGCCGCCCGAAGTGGGGGTGGTCGAGGGCGGGAGGCCGAGCTCGTCGTCCGAGGCTCCCAGGAGGTACCCGAGCTCCGACTTCGAGTCCCCGGACTCCGCCGTGAGGTCGACCACCTCCACCGCCGCCGGCGACGGCAGCGAGGACGCCGAGGCGGCCGAGATCTCGTCCTGGAAGCTCCGCATGAGGGAGTCCAGATCCGGGGCCCCCGGCTCGGGGTCGGAGTCGTCGAGGAAGCCGAGGAGATCGTCCCTCAGCCTCTTCACCTCGGCCGAATGGAACTCCAGCTCCTCCGCGCCGTCGTCGCCTCTGAACCGCTTCCTACTGCTGCTCTGATCTTCCATCGGAATGAAACCAAAAGAAAACGCTCAAACTTCTGTGCTATGGGCTCGACCCAGATGCCGCCGAGGGGAAATGATTGGGTTCTTCTGCTCGTTGCTGCGAGAATCGCCGACTGGCTTCGAGAAGGCTTTATAGGGGGGAGACAAGGAGATGGAGAAGAAGACGAAGAAGAAGAGACAAATGGTGTGTGTGTGTGGGAGAGAGAGAGGTGGGTGGGTGGGGAGATGGATGGGGTAACGTGCAGGCGCGTGGGATGTGAATTTGCTTAGGTCGTCACGGACGTCTTGCCTTCTCCTTCTCCTTCTTCCTTTCTTTATTATTTATTATTTATTATTATATTTCTTTTTGTGTTCTAGTGCGTGTCCCGGCGTTCCCATGTTGCGGAATTGAATCGGGGTTTGAGTTCCGTCCTGCGTATACGGTCGGGAAACCGGGTGGGGCCCGCCCCGGCATAGTCAATCACGGCCGCGGCTTTTGCCCCTTTTTTTTCCACTTTTGTCTTCTCCCCCCCCCCCCCCCCCCCACACTGGATTTCTCCGCTAGGTCTCCATCCGGCCCGGCCCGGCCCGGCTCGGCTCGGCTCGGCTCGGCTTCCCCCCGGCGACCACGTGATCAGGTCGCTTGACCCGGCGCTGCATATTAAAATAATTCCGAAAATCCACGGGAAGGGGCAAAAAAAATATCATCGAGATGATGATGACGACGGTCGGTCGGAGTGTACCCGAACGAGATGAGGCGAGACCTTCACTCGGGCCAATCAAAAACGTAAGACGCACACGTTGAAAAGTAAGAAGATTGCTCGATCTCTTGTTATTTTTGGTCGAAAAAGATTGCTTTCATTTAATAGGTTGCTTTCGACCCAAAGAATCAACCGAGCGGGACTCAATCCGCCCACGACGTCTGCGCCCCCGTTTTACCATCTATTGCATCTCTGGGCTTTGCTCGTTTTTGCCTCCTTCGTGAATAAAAGGGTGGGTAGGGCGATGGATGCTAACAACCCTCTTTGAAAGTAGCCACGAGAAAATTGTCTAAAAAATCAAATTTTTTCGCGTTCTGTCGACTGAGTCCGTCCGGCTTGTTGACGTGGAAACCGGCCATCCTACGAGACCTAGGTAGGCGGCGCCGATGTGGATAATTTTTTTATAATGTTTAATTTTTTCGAATTTTTGTTATTTTTCCTTTCTTTTCTTCCCCCTTTTTTTTTTTTACACCTTTGGCGAGTGAGGGGCTCGCCGACCACAAGCGAGGGCCACGACGCTTCGCTGGCCACAAGCGAGGGGCTCATGGCTCTCGCTTGGATCTGGGAGAGGCCCGACACCCTCGCTTATGGCCGGCGATGGTCGGCCGGGCCGACCGTCGCCGGCTAGAGGTGTTAAAAAAAAGAAAGGAAAAATAAATTAAAAATTAATATAAGTTCGAAAAAATATTAAATATTTATTAAAAATTATTAACGTTAGCTCTGGCCATGCCACGTAAGCCTTCGAGCATCCACGTCAGCAATTTTCGACAAAAATTGATCGAATTGATTCAATTGGCAAAACGTGAATTGAGACTAAATTAACAAAATTAAAAAATTTATGACTAAATTAGCAAAAGCATAATGAGCTTATAACTTTTTGGACAATTTTCCCGCTGTAATTATGAAAGGCCTCGTGCCCATATGGAAATGTTCTAATTGATTTATAACTACTCCCGCAGCAAGTACGATCCGAACGTCACGCCCTATAATAATCATGCCGGCGACTTGATAGAACTACAGTACGTCCAAATAAGCTTTACTTCGCGAAGCGGGCAATCGAACAAGTCTAGGGTCTACTTTCCCATTTTGTTAGCATTATTGAAAGAGAACAGGGGTGGCTCCCGCAGATTTTTCTAATGGAAATATGGTGGGTGGGGGGAAGTCCTGGTCAATTGGCTGGCTGGTGCTTTTGAAACGGCATATCAGATTTGGTTTTGATTATAATCTTATAGTGTAGACTTTGGACAAGGCGCATGAGTATTGACCGGTGACACGGGACTTTAGAAAATCAAACAAATTCTCGAACAGGTTAGCATGTAGCGCCTCATTAGCTATAGCCTGTTAGGTATCGGACACCCCCCGATTTCGTCCACGTTTTATTGGTTTTTTATTACTGGCGATGATGGATGACGGGAACCCGCCACTTGAGAAACGATAGATTAATGCGATAAAGAATTCGTAGGGTGGGGCAGTACGAGGGAAAACCACATTCGAGATTTGTAATTATGGTCCTGTCGAATGTCCAAATTTTCCTCGTGTCTTCGCACGTTGGGAGGGGAATCAAATCAACTTGAAGGTGCTCTTCTAGAAGTGGGGACGTAATCCAAGTAATGGTGCCGGGGACTCGTCGTCGTACGTTCTCGATGGTTGCGAAGATCGTGTCTGGGGAAGTCGTCCAAAAACAGCACAAAAACAATGCGGACGGCCTCGGATTCTGACTATTAGATGGCGAATTCGAGAAGCGAAAAGGATTCGATTTCGCAGCACTTTCGTCTTTTCTTTCGGCCCAAGGAAACCAGACAAGCTGAGTAAACCGGGCGTCAGAGGAAAATTCCAGGTCGGTTGCTGGCAAATTGGCGATTCCGGGTTTGGGTTAATCTGCAATTAGGTAGGAGAAGGTGGCGTTGTTAAATTGGAAATTAGGGGCCGAATTAGTACATATTTTGCTAACTAGTCTTTGCCATGACAAGAAGAGTCTAAACATGAAACCACGAAAGGTCTCAAATGACAAATGCCCTGGACCCTTCCGCTTGCAAATCTTGTCTCGTTTCTCCTCCGATGAGCTCGACCACCACCAAAAAAGTTAAGCCTTTCGGGACATCGAGTCACAATCCCCGCCCGCACAATTGGCTACTATCACCATGACCTCTCTCTCTCTACTCGACCTCAAAGCATGTTGTAGATGGCCAATGCGATCATCTTCGAATCTATGTGAAGCTAGCGCATGCAGAACCATAGGTGGTGAGTGACCGCCTCGTCATTATGCATCAGAGTTGATCATTTCGATCCCGAGTTTGCAAGAGACCAATGATTCTTGGGTGACTCTTGCTTTCAAAGATGCTCAACTGTATGATTTCCGGGAATCTTGTTGAAGAATGTCCTTATCAATTTAGTCAATTATCCAAATGGAGGAACTTTGCAGTTCTCAATGGACATCACTTTTTTCTCTATAGCATTTGTAATCTTACTTTAAAAATTGAAATTGTTACATAGAGAATTAGCAAGTGTCGTTTTTTTCCAAATATAAAGCATTGGGCACAACTTGTTTATATTCAGTATAGCAGAAAAGTAATGCTATTTTAAGTACTAAAGACCGATCAATTATTATTCAAAATTCAATAAATTATGAAAAAGATATATGTAAACCTGCGAAGCAAAGAAAAGTTGAGCCCATCAACAAGGGAAAAGCAAAGAAAATCACATATTGTTCTTATTCGAGCCGAAAGAGACATGCCTAAATCAATATGAGTTCGGCATGAAAAAGTTCCACAGATCGAGATGGCAAAGCGACATAAGAGAGAAGGGAGCTCGCCGATGGAAAAATTGAGGGATTTCTAGCGTCATAAAAAGGTTGTCATTTTCAAAATACTAATTTTCTCTTTATTATTGGTTACGATTAATCTCTGTGCTCAGGGTATTCGTTAATAAGACCCAAATTTCAAAGAGGCCGTAGAATTTTTTTAAAAATCTAACATGTAAATTCTCGCTTAGTTCGATACAAAAACCGCAATGAAGGTAATTTAGCAAATATTCTTGTTTTTTATTATAACGAAATGCTACTTGGTACTCCTAAGAAAAATTTCTTAAGGAAAACAAATTTGTTGAGGTTATGGATGACCTCAAATCATGGTAGCATGATGTCCCCGAATTTTTTATTTTTGTATTTTTTGGAGAGAGAGAGAGCTGAGGATGGTGTTGGTGATAGTGGTTTGGACAAGTGGTGGTGGATTGGTGTTGGTGATGGTGGTTTCCACAAGCGGTGGTGGATTGAGTGAATGCCAAGGTTTCGAGAAATCGGAGGCTAGTGAATATGAATGGCAGGTTTGTCTAGATGCGAATTCATGTGGAACGGATTCATTGTAATCGATAATGATACGAATTACACGCGATTCGGACATGTAGATTCACGCGATCGCAGGAGGTCCATGTGAAGGCAAAGTACATTTCCCGGAGCAGGAGGGCGCGGCCTCGCGATCTCCGTGCGATCGGCATAGTACGTAAGAGGTGTGCAAATGGTTTCGAGGTAAGGATTGGCAGGACCATACCTTGGATGGAACTCGTGTCACGCAAGTAGACGTGACCCCAACGTATAACATGACAAAATACGCTCAGTGGCCAACAGCCTAATTGAGTGCAGTTGAATGTCCCGTCATACATCCACCCTCGCCTTTCACGTTCCCACCAACATAGCGTTTGGAAATGACACTGTTCCAACTACTAGGGACAACATAAGAGAAAACCACTTTCTAGTTGAGCCCCTCTTCCAAAAAAAAGGAGCTTCGCGTTTCTCCCGTCACAATGGTGAGTTGGAGGAAGCCGGTCTACATGAGCGATTGATTCATCATAGAACCGACAGCAACGTAGTTCGTTGGGACATTGAGAATGTTTCGACTAGAGAATTGGAAGTTATTTATTCAAATCTCATAAATTAGGTGTAAATTGCTTTGGCAAGAGATTACCTGCATACCTCAAATGTGTAGACTTAATCGATTTATAGGATTCGCAAGGTGTTTTGTGAAACTCTAGGTAGCTTCATTTGCGTTCGTGCCCCCAATTTATAGAAAAGAAAAAAGAAAAAAGAAAAATTGTTTGGCTTGGTGATCTAGGGCACGTGTGTCTTTATAATGCTAGAGCATGAGTCGTTCTGTGATCGAACTATGCCTGCAACATATTTAGCTGATACATGTGAATCGGATGGTTTGCACTCATCTGTGTGATTCAATCAAGTCTAGAAGTTTATGTTATAACGTTAAATTAGGAACA